AGCCTATCTCAACCCCTTGCTGTAAATACTAGATGAATGACCATTTTGAATTTGACATACTTCCTGGGCAATTGCTAGTAACTGGGAAGGAATCAGGATACATGGATGTGTAAGGTTTGAGCAGCAGCATTTTCTTGTTCCTCTATGCTTTAGAGAGTGCTTGCTTAGTCGCTCAGTCCTATTCTACTCTTCGCAACCCTTTGGATTGTAGCCCACCAGGCTTCTCTGTCTATGGAATTTTTGGGGCACAAATACTGGAGTATTTCCTCCTCCAGGGGATCTTCCCAACCAGGGACAGAACACCTGTCTCCCGTGTCTCCTGCCTTGTAAGCAGATTCTTTACCTCTATGCTTTAGTGTCTGTTGGCTGATCACATTAGAAAACTGGCCAGGAAGGAAGTATGTGCTAGATTGGGAATGGTGAAAACAAATTCCAGAAATCTAGGAAGGAGTTATAAGCAATTAATTAACTAGACACATTCAATTCATTAGGAAATTGTCTGAATGAAAGCTCAGTCTAGATAAGAACAATTAAATCCAACCCATGACAATGGAGAAAACAGGATGCTAAAGGTGGAACATGGTTTTGAAATTTCTACAAGAGGAGAAATGGCTGAAATGTATAATTGAAGATATTTTAAGACATCAATCAGTTTCCATCTCAAGGCTCCCTCTGCCATTCTGTCTGCCTGGAATGTTCCCACTCCAAATTTTCCATTCCTCACTTCCCCGGTGGCTCAGTGGTAAAGAATCCACGTGCAATGCAGGAGACTTGGATTCGATCCCTGGGTTGGAAAGATCCCCTGGAGAAGGAAATGGCAACCCACTCCAGTATTCTTGCCTGGGAAATCCCATAGACAGAGAAGCCTGGTCGGCTACAGTTCATGGGGTCGCAAAAGAGTCAGACACAACTTGAGTGACTAAACAACAACGACTTATAATTCAAATCGCCACTCAAATGTTACCACTCTCAGAGGTACTTTCCTGATCCTCCTCCCAAAGTCACAACCCCCACCTCAATTATATCTTCTGATTGTATTTGCATCAAATTAACCTTTGCTTAATTATTCATTTATTCATTCATCTATGTGTTTTTTGTCTTTGCTGCTAGAATGTAAGCTCCAAGAAATTAAGAATCTAGTCTAATTTCTCCAAAGACATACAGATGACTAACAAACATATGCAAAGATGCTCAATATCACTCATTATCAGAGAAATGCAAATCAAAACCACAATGAGGTACCATTATACGCCAGTCAGGATGGCTGCTATCCAAAAGTCTACAAGCAATAAATGCTGGAGAGGGTGTGGAGAAAAGGGAACCCTCTTACACTGTTGGTGGNTTTTTTTTTTTTTTTTTTTTTGCTTTCTTTTGTTTGCACAATCAAGTCTTGTCACCAGGAAAGTTGAGCATGGAAACTTTTCTGAAACACACACATTTCACCTCCAGAAGGAAATCAGATGTTTTTCTTCCACAGATGACATGAGCAATTTAGAAAATAATTTGCAGCATGAAGGCATTTCACAGTAATGCCAATAAGATTGAACAAATCTCATTAATATAAGATATACTTACTTGGAAATTACCCCAATTCTATTTCACAATCAAACTATTATAATTAAGTCACAGTGTGTCTCTGTTATTTAGGAAAATAAGCAATTACACTCTGCATCCTTGAGACCTATTGCTAATTGGGTTTCATTGAGCGTATACTTCTGCAGTGTGGTCTGGAACTAAATCTGATCATCTGAGGTCGAGGACCCAGCTCAGGGCACTGGACTGCCTCATGCAAAAGCTTTGCTAGTGCCTCAGCAACCCTGCCTGATCAACCGCAGGTCACTCAGCAAGCTGACTGCTGGCATAGACTCACGGTATCTTTGATTATGAAACACACAGGGATATTCATCCAGCAGACAGTGACCGAGGACATCCCAGGCCTGTGAGAAACATGGGCCACACTGTGGAGCTTGCTACATAAGGGAATTACAAAGAACTGAGAGAGTTAACCTAGGCAGGGAGTCCAGGGCACTTTAAGGAGGAGGTGAACATTCTAGTTCATGTTTATTTTAAGCCTTGTGCAACAATGTATCTTACCCAAGAACTGGCTTTTCCTTAGGTCCAGAGCTTATTACACAGCCAGTGTCTTGCTCATGGAAATGCTTTTCTTGGGCTACATGTTACTGATTATAATTGTAACAAATCTTGCCTGGGAACCTGTTTCTAAAAATATGTTGTATGTGGAGTAAAGGATAAAGTATTGAAGAGAAGGTAGAGATCAGAGTGGGTGTATCAGTTAGCTGTAGCTAAATAACAAATAACCCCAACAATTTGACATAAATAAGCATCTATGATCATGCTCCCTGGTCTTCATATTAGCTATAGCAGCTCTTCAGACTATAGATCTGTGCATCTGTGGGTCAGTTAAAGAAGCACATATACGTTGACCTGGTTTTTTCACTTAGAAATACTCAGGTATATCCAAGGTAACAAGGACAACAATATTCATGTAAAGAACAACTGCCAAGCTCTCTGGATCTATCTAGACCCTAAACAAGGAGCCTGTTAGTGTGATTCTCATTTCCTTTGGCTTGACATTACTGGTTAGAATACTTTCAAATGTGCTCCTTTTCCTAATCTCTTCTGTCCTCCTTTATAATCACATGACTTTCAAATTCATTTACTCACATGGCCTCACAATGAGTATTCATTACAATACTGTTTAAAATCAAGACTTTTTCTGCCTTTCTAACCCAATGCACTGGGTTTTTGCACTGAACAGCTTTTAAAATTCTTATCACAGTACTGCAGGCAGTTTGTAAGTTATATTCTATTAAAACGATTCCACCTAAGGTTGTCACAATTCAGAGATTACAGCTTCTGCAGGATTTTTTTTTAGGAATATATTCATATACTCACTTTGTCAGACACATCCCATGAGTCTGCATTTAACATCTCATCTGATAGCATAATTCAACAGAAAGGATAAAATAAGCAATATTTATTAATATTATGGAATAGATATTATGGGAATATTAGATAGGCACACATTGGCATCCCAAAGCAAACATTTCTGTGTTTCTAGCAGCACAAGCAAGGCCAACAAGGAAAAGGGCAGGAAGAGTGTTGAGGGGAAGAGGCATAAAATGTGAAAACTTGGACTTCCCTGGCAGTCTAGTGGTTAAGAATCCACCTGCCAGTGCAGAAGACACAGGTTCGATCCCTGGTCCGGGAAGATCTCACATACCACGGCACAACGAAGCCAGGGCTCCCCAACTACTGGGCCCACACTCTGGAGCCTGGAAGCCACAACTACTGAGGCCACAGAGCACAACTACCGAAGCCTGCACACGCTAGGGCTTGTGCTCTGCAACAAGAGAAGCCATGGCAATGAAAAGCACACGCACCAGGACTAGAAAGTAGCCCTCTCTCGCTGCAACTAGAGAAAGCCCTCTTGCAGCAACAAAGACCCAGGGCCATCAAAAATAAATAAGTAAATAAAAATTTTAAACATATGTAGTTTTAAAAAATGTGAGCCCGTCTCCTAATTATGTAACTTTGGTTATATATTTAGTTTTTCTCATGCAATCTTTCTTATCTCTTCTAAAAGGAATGCAAAATTCATTCTCACAGAAGTAATAAACACCATCTGAGTTGTTCTTGGAGTTTGAAAACATTACTACTTGATGAAATAGTGTAAGAAAATATATGTATGCCCTATGATACAGATATCCATAGATATCACATATCCACAGATCCACAGATATCCAGACAGAATTTTCTCAGGGTGTAGAGTTGGAAAACCACATTTGGACTTCTCAGGCCCAATATCTGGATGGGTAAGACCACGGTGGCCACCTGGCCACCTCTTGCAAGTATCTTGGTTGGTCCCCAGTACCTTCCCAACTAGAACTCCCCAGCTAATTTCTAAGGCTTTGCTGGTGACTCATCAGTAAAGAATCCGCCTGTCAATGCAGAGACAAGGATCCAATCCCTGGGTTGGGAAGATCCCCTGGAGAAGGAAATGGAAACCCATTCCGGCATTCTTGCCTGGGAAATCCCATGCACAGAGGATCCTGGAGGGCTATACTGTGTCGCAAATAGTTGGACACGACTTAGTGACTGAACTTAGCAACTGAACAACAACAATACAACGGTCTTATTCCTTGAAAAAGATCTTCTAAAGCAGACAGACAAGGCAGGCGAAGACAAGATTCGGTGGGGTCAGCAAAGATACAGCCCTACTGAATAACTGCACCAGAAAAGGAAGCTCCAGCCAATCTCACATGCCACCATTCATTTGCCACTCACAAATTCATCCATTAGACAAGTATTCGCCAGCACTTCTTTGTGCTTTACATCATACAGCTCAAATATTTTAAGGACTGAAGAAGAAAAAGAAAATTTCAAGACTCTGTCACAACTACACAGCTTGGTTGTTGGAGCAGGAAAGCAGCCAGAGATGATGAATCAATGAAAATGTGCCACTGTATTCTAACACTTGATCTACCAAACAGATGATGGACTGGATTTGGCCCCTGGCTGTAGTTTTCTGATTCCTGATCTAAGAAAAAGGAGGTTTTTGCACTTCTTACATAAAGACTCCTGAACAGAAAAGGTGGCGATGAACAAAATCTGTATACAGATGGTGAACCCTGTGTCCTTTGTCCCCAAAATGGAAAGGAGGAAGTAAAACACAGAATTACGAGTGAGAGTCCTGGAAGCTGAGTTAGACCAATACTAGTTTGCAAATGAGCACTATAGATTCTGAACTCCATTTGGTTTGAAATGCAATTTTCCTTAAGGGAACCGCCAACAAATAATTCTACAAGATCCACGGGGCTTATGAGAGTCTTGAAGGTGAGGCCCCCCCCCCCCCNGCCAGCTCGCCAGATCCCCCGCACAAACTCCAGGTTTGGGTTCCCTCCTCCCAGAAGCCCCTGAAGGTCGGATGCTTCCCAAGCCGCCAGCATCAGCGCCACAGCCGCCCGCGCTCGCCTTACCTCTGCTCTGGGGCGACCTCGGAACGCGTCGTGCGTCTCCCGCCGGCTCCCCGAGCCCCAGGGCGTCACTAGCGGTCGAGTCACCGGCCGTGCTGCTTCTGCGATGTCCGCGCCCGGCCCAGTCCGCCTCCTGTCGGAAGACCAATTCCCGCAAGCCCTGATCTCTAGAGCGGCTGCCAGTGACCCCCAACTCCCAGGAGCAGCTAGACTTCGCGCGCTCTGGACCAGACCGCCCCCGACACGCCCAGACACGCCCAGGCCCCGCTCCACCCAACCCACCCAGGCTCCGCCCCCACCTCGCTGGCCTCTCTCGTCGGTCCTGTCTCTAGTTCCATTCCACCAGCGACTCCCCATCCTCACCACTTTCGGACCCTACCCAACTCCCGACCTCCCACCCGCACTCCCCACCTCGTCCCCGGTCCATCTCTGGAAATGCCTGTCCGCCACCCCTGTCCCTGTCCTTTACCTCCGCCCTGCCCCGCTGCCCAGGCCTTCTGTACCCACCTGGTAGGGAGGTGAGTACTAAAGCGCAGTGTGACTTAACACCCAGATCCTTCCAGGGTGAAGATAACCATGCTCTGGAGGACGTCTGGGAGGATGCACTCCTCCGACTGAGAAGTTTCATGTGGCCGGGCCCTTCCTTCAAGCTCTGGGTCTCAGCCCTAGAGAACTCTGCCCACATGATAAGGTGCAGAGCCCTATGGGGCTCCTGGGTACCGGAGCCTTTCTGTGTCCCCGGTTTCTTTGATTATAGGAAACAGCCTTCATTTAGCCTCCATGACCTTGCCTGAGTGCCAACGGGCGGATTTAAGCAGTTGTTAATTAGGGAAGGGAAGGGATGCAAGACCAGGAGAAAGAATCAAGAGCAGCCTTGGGGCAAAGTCCTGTTTCCCTGTGAATGGATACACACAGCAATATCTTCGAGTTTATTTTACAGACACTGAAACCCCTTCCCGGACAAGGAAAATGCAACCCACTCCAGTATTCTTGCCTAGAGAATCCTGTGGACAGAGGAGCATGCTGGGCTGCCGTATATGGGGTTACACAGAGTTGGACAGAACTGAAACGACTTAGCAGCAGCAGCAGCAGCAGCAGCGGAAACCCCTTCCAGGTGGGAGAAGCTAAGGGTTAATGACCTTATGCTACCCACAAGCACGTAGACCCCAGACAGTTGGACCTGAAGGTTGATGATGCTGACTTCCACTTACTTCATCACCAATTCATCAGAAGAGGGTCCATGAGCTGATCACGCCCTCTTTGAATAATTACTATAAAACTTGTCACTATTTTCCCCAAGTTGGGAGGCATGGATTTGAGGACATTACCCCTCTGTGTCCCCCTTCGCCTGGCAAAACAATAAAACTATCCTTTTCTACTTCATCCAAAACTCTCTCCAAGATTTAATTCCATACCTATGTACAGATAAGCTGGACTTTCTGCATCACGGATACGCAGGGACTCAGACCTGGAGCTGACCCTTCCACCTTCCCATGGCCCTGCATGGTGGATTGTCAGCACACCCTAGCTCCCAATTTTTGGGTGACACCCTGGGAACAGGAAAAGTGGTAAGATTAAAAGCCCTATGTGGTTTATATAGTTGTGATTTTTATAGTTGCAAGATTTATAGTTGCAATTTTTTTCTGATTTTGCTTTGTTATTATTTGTTATTATCATTTGTTATATTTGTTATTATCATTATTGAGGCAAACCATATAGAACATTATTATTATTAGTTGCAAGTGTACAACACAATAATTTGGCATTTGTATATTGTGCATAATGATCACTGCTGTGTCTAGTTGACATATGTCACCATGCAGAGTTTCAATTGTGTGTGTGATAAGAACTTTCAAGATTTACTCTCTTAGAGTTGCATTTTAATTTTATATCTTGTTTTATTTTTAGGCCTTGCCCCGTGACTTGCAGTATTTTAGCTCTCCATCCAGGCATCGAACCCAGGCCCTAAGCAGTGAAACTTGGAGTCCTAACCACCAGACTGCCGGGGAATTCCTTATGGCTGCATTTTTAAAAAGGAAAAACAAGGTGCAAAAAATAGGGACTCCATGGCACATCCGTATACGTACGTCACAGCAAAAACCTCGAACAGTAGTTCCTCAGGAAGAGAACAGGGATGTAGGGACAGGAGAAAACTTGGTTGGTTAATTCATGCTCTTTCTGTATTGTTCGATTTATTTTCTTAATATGCTGGTATTGTCTATTCAAAAGAGTGGTGAAAAGCAAACCAAAAGCATAAGTCGCTGCTGCTCTGACCTTGTCGTGGTGATGTCTGTGCAGTTAGGCTCCCCTCCCCCCCACCCCCTGCCCCGCTGTCTCTTCTCTCTGGTTTTCCCTGTGCTGCCCTATCTTAGGATGATGCTCCAGGTGGCATTCCCGTGCTCAACCTCCTGGTGATTACAGAATACTGGTTAGAGTTCCCTGTGCTATGCAGAGCGCTGCCCCTTAAAAAGTATACAATGTGGGGGACTTCACTGGTAGTCCAGTGGTTAAGAGTTTGCCTTCCAATGCAGGGGACACAGGTTCAATCCCTGGTCTGGGAGGATCCCACATGCTGCAATTACTGAAGCCTGTACGGGAAGCCACTGAAATGAGAAGCCCTGCAGCCATTACATAAATAAAGTGAGAGTGTTAGTTGCTTAGTCTTGACCCACTCATTGAGACCCTATGGACTATAGCCTGCCAGGCTCCTCTGTCCATTGGATTCTCCAGGCAAGAATAGTGGAGTAGGTTGCCACTCCCTTCTTCAGAGGATCTTCCCAACCCAGGGGTCGACTGCAGGCAGATTCTTTACCATCTGAGCCTCCAGGGAAGCTTATTTTAAAAATAAGGTTTAAAAAAAAAATTTTTTTTTAAGAGAAAGAAAAGAAAAGAATCTACCTTCCAATTCAGGGCACATGGGTTCCATCTGTGGTCAGGGAACTAAGATCTCACAGACTGCAGGGCAACTAAGCCCTTGGGCCATAACTAGAGAAAGCCCACTCTCTAAAATGAAGACCCATTGCAGCCAAAATTTAAAAAATAAAATGTATATAATATACTGTTTTGGGTGGCATGGTCTTGCTTTAGAACCCCAAGAGCCTGTGTTATGATTCTACCATTGGGACTTCCATAAGCTTCACCCTGCATCTTTCTCCCCATGGGTACCTCGGGCATTGTGGATCCATCTGTCTGATGCTTCACTCCAAACATTAGAACTGATTGCATCAAACCCTGGATTGACTGCAATGCCTCTTCCTGTTGTTGGCTCCACTCAAACCTGGCAGCCTTGCACATCACTTGGTAGATGGTGGTGTTTCCTCTGGAACCCAGAGAGACCCACTAGACCCTGTGCTTTCCTCACTGTTGTATTAGATACAGCCCTTTGCCTTTCCCTTCAGAGAGGATATCTGCCTGCCTATGACCTCTAGATGTGGTACAGCATCCCTGCAATGTGGATCCCCAAATCTTGTCCTCTGGAGCACATGTGTCTTTCCAAGGCCTCCAGTAAAAGGCACTAGCTATGTTTTACTCATTCTGTCCAATCAGCACAATGTTATTGACATAGTGCACTAACATGATCATCAGTGGTGATAAAAGAAATGTTCACATATTGAGGTAAAGGGAAGTCATTCTGGCTTATTCATGAGTTAACTTGAATTTATGTTAGACTGCTCTGGTTCTTCCTTACTGCATAACGATTTTCTGCAGTTTCGGTGAGCAGGGTCTACCCTTCCTTGCAGTTCGTGGGCTTCTCATTGTGGTGGCATCTCTGGTGGCAGGGCACGGACTCTAGGGTGAGTGGGCTCAGTAGTTGTGGCTCCTGAACTTAGTTGTCCTGAGCATGTGGGATCTTTCCCAACTCGGGATCAAACCTCTGTCTCTTGCATTGGTAGATGGATTATTTTTTTTTCATTTATTTTTATTAGTTGGAGGCTAATTACTTTACAATATTGTAGTGGTTTTTGCCATACATTGACATGAATCAGCCATGGATTTACATGTGTTCCCCATCCCAATCCCCCCTCCCNGATCCCTTGGAGGAGGGCATGGCAACCCACTCTTGTATTCTTGCCTGAAGAATCCCCATAGAGAGAGGAGCCTGGCAGGCTACAATCCACGGGGTCGAAAAGAGTCAGACACGACTGAATGACTAAACACAGCACATTATTACATCAGCTCCACCTCAGATCATTAGGTGTTAAATCCCAGAGGTTGGGGACCTCTCTACTACAGGACCCACCTGTTTAATCCACAGTGATTTCTTCATTTGAGATCCTTGATTTGATATCGAATCTGCAAAGAACCTATTTCCAAAGGTCACATCTTGGGATTAGGAAATGGAGATGACATTGGGAGATATTATCAGCTGTTGCATCACCCAATAGATTTGCTTTGGGTATTAAACTATTTTATCTATGTAAATTGCTTGCAGTAGTGTCTGGTACTGAGTGAGGGACCTGTATGTGTTGACTAAATTAATATCTTTATTTTATGTTGCCATGCTGTGCAGCAAGGGGGACCTTAGTTCCCCAACTAGGAATTGAACTCAAGCGCCCTATAGTGGGAGCACAGAGCCTAACCACTGGATGAGCAGGGAACTCCCCAAGTTAGTATTTTTATTATCCACATTGTCTAAAAAGTTGGGGAAGGCTAGACAAGAGAGCAGTGTGCTTCAAGATAAATGAGAAAGCACATTTCTTAATCACACAGAAGAATATTTCTATATGATTAATATGTAAATAGCAGCATAAAATGTTGAAAGAATCCATTTAAAACACCCATTAGAAACAAGCCTTTGTACCACTGTAATAAATACACAGAAAAGATAGATGATGAAAAACATAATGAACCAATAAAAAGGCTGAGGTTTCAACTTGGCTATTTTCTAAATGCAAATAAGCTGAGCATTGCTTTCAAGAACAACACTGTGTGTTTTACCCACTGAGGCCGTCAGCTGACCCTTCTGGGTTTGAGACCACTGCATACCACCCACCATGTAGCTGTGGCAGAAGCAGTTCTCAGTGTGATATGGAAGGAATCATTCAGATCCAGGGGAAAAGGGGCCTTTTTAGAGG